GGGCAGGACTGCCTGGAGCTGGAGCTGGGCCAGAGCCGCGAGGAGCTCGACAAATTTAAGGATAAGTTCCGCAGGTGTGGGAATGAGGGGATACACACACACACACACACACACTCTCTCTCTCTCTCTCTCTCTTTCTTTCTTTCTCTCTCTCTCCCTTCTTCGGAGGTTAGCTGGAAGATGCCTCAGAGATCATCTGATTCCGATTAGAAAACTGAAGTTGTTGAGGGCGAATGACATGTTTAAGATCCCGGGAGGCTGAACAGGGCCTGAAGAATGGGATCTTGACCCAGGGATGTGCCTTGTGTTATCCCTTTTCAGGCTGCAGAACAGCTACACAGCTTCCCAGCGGACCAACCAGGAGTTGGAGGACAAGCTGCACACACTGGTAAACGGCAACTTGGCGGGCACTGTGCTCACAGCATAGCAGGGGGCCAGGATTTGCCAGGGGAATGCCACTCGGGCTTGGGGGAGATGGTGGGATGGGGCAGTGGTGGGGGTACCGCAGTGTGCTCTGCAAGTCAGGACTGTCTTAATGCTCACACTGTTTCTCTTCTTTCCTCGTCTCCCCCCTCATGCTGCCACCGTCGCTGCTGCACTCTCCTCTCAGGCCTCTCTTAGCCACAGCTGGATTTTTGCAGTTGCGTCTGAGTTTGTGTGTCTTCTCCCTTGCCCTGGCCTTCTCAGCTGAGATCTGGAATTGCGGGCCCTGGCTATTACCCTGTACCCCTTGAGTATACCCGCTCCTTTCTCTTCCCTGTGTGAGGCCCATTTAACAGTCAATGCCTCCCTCCCAGGAGAGAGCTGGGGAGCCTAGCCTGCTCTGCCCTTGGCTCTGGTAGAGGTACTGATTGATGTCTCCACTGAACACCCAAAGCTTCTTGGCTGCAGTGGCAGCAAGCCCAGGCTGTGGGTGGGGAGGGGAGGCTGCAGATCCAGTCCCTGAACTGAAGATCAGAAGGCTACTTTTGAGCCTGCAGCTTGCTCCCTGCTCAGCGAGGCACCCTGGCTGCCACCAAGCCCTGCTTCCTCTTCCCTCTCCTAGCCTGATGCTGGAAACAGCTGCACACGTAGGAGGCTTCAGCCCCCTGGTTTGCAGTTTCTGCCTTTGAAGTACCAGCTGCCTTGCCTGGTGCCCAGAGCCCCTGGAATCTCAGGGGATGGACAGCTCTTATACTGTCTGTGTCCTGGGCCCAGGTGGCAGGAGGTCATGCTAAGAAAGCCCCCACCCCACAGCCGGTCCAGGGAGTGGGAGAGATGCCCAGTCTCCTTCTGTCTGTCCGTCATTTGTCTCTGCTTTGTCCGCCTTGGCTGCCCTAGCACCTGTGGCCTCTTGTGTCTCCAGGATGGGAGGAGGTGGACGGAGAGGAAGGGCTGGCTAGGGTGTGGGCTGGGTTAACCTCAAGTCTGTGCCTCAGATCAAGAAGGCTGAGATGGATAGGAAGACGCTGGACTGGGAGATTGTGGAGCTGACCAACAAGCTGCTGGATGCCAAGAACACCATTAACAAGCTGGAAGAGCTCAACGTATGTGCATTTCACTGCTCGGGCCTTCCTCACCTGGGGCTAGCTTTGTTCTGGCCTGGCCCTGCTCCCTTGGAGAGGGCTGGGCTGGGCTCTGAACCAGGTCTGTGTCTGTAGGAGCGGTACCGACTGGACTGCAACCTGGCTGTGCAGCTCCTCAAGTGCAACAAGTCCCACTTCCGAAACCACAAGTTTGCTGATGTGAGTAGAACTCACCCCCTCCCCGCCCACATAGACCATTCTGGCCACTGTAGGACTCTTACTTAACTCCAGTTTCTACACCTCTCTCTGTCTTCCTGTTTTTAAGTCCCCTTTCCATTTTGCCCTCCTGCCTCCATGTCACCTATCAAGCCAGTCAACTCTGCCACTGGTTGGTGTCCCATGTCCTGTCTAGGGCCCATCACTAGTTTTGGGGGGGCAGCCCTGTTGGTTTCTATAACAGAGACAGAGAGAGAGGATCCCAGGCAGGAAGGAGAGGGTAGTCAGAGCTATCTGCCCAAAGAGTACTGAGAGAGGATTAGGCCCATCTGATCATGTTACCCCAGCGGGTAAACTCTAGACCCCAGAGCTTCAGGCCCAAGGTTGATGTGGCCTGCAGAAGTAGAGATATTTCTTCTTTTTTCTTTTTTTTCTTTGTTTGAGACGAAGTCTTGCTCTGTTGCCCAGGCTGGAGTGCAGTGGCGTGATCTCGGCTCACTGCAAGCTCCGCCTCCCGGCTTCAAGCAATTCTCCTGCTTCAGCCTCCCAAGTAGCTGGAATTACAGGCGCCCACCGCCACAGCCGGTTAATTTTTTTTGTATTTTTAGTAGAGACGGGGTTTCACTGTGTTAGCCAGGATGGTCTCCATCTCCTTCCTGACCTCATGATCCACCTGCCTTGGCCTCCCAAAGTGCTGGGATTACAGGTGTGAGCCACCGCGCCCGGCCCAGAAGAGGTATTTCTAAGGCCACTGGTCTATACAGATTCTCCAAACTTAAGTGTGGTTTGGGCAGAAGCTGGGAGATAGAAGTTTGAGAACATGCCGGCCTCAGCAGCAGATCTGGGTTTAAATCCTGGCCAAGTTAATCAAAAGCTTCGAATTGTCTTCCCCTCTCCGGGCCTGTGTGTCTGTGAAGTGAGGGTATACACACTGGCATGCTCTAAGAACAGGAGATAGTGGAGTGCTGAGTACACAGAGGTACTTAAATGTGGGAGCCATTACTTTCGCCGTGAGTCAAGTTGTCTTTAGCTGTGATCATTAATGTCTCTCTTTCCTGCTCTTTTACCTCAGCTGCCCTGTGAGCTACAGGACATGGTTCGGAAACATCTGCACAGTGGTCAAGAGGCTGCCAGCCCAGGTCCTGCTCCCAGCCTAGCCCCAGGGGCTGTGGTGCCTACCTCGGTCATTGCCCGAGTGTTAGAGAAGCCGGAGTCTCTACTGCTCAATTCAGCCCAGTCAGGCAGCGCCGGGCGCCCCTTGGCTGAGGATGTCTTTGTGCATGTGGACATGAGCGAGGGTGTCCCAGGTAATCCAGCCAGTCCCCCGGCCCCTGGCAGCCCCACCCCGCAACCCAATGGGGAGTGCCACTCTCTGGATACTGCCAGGGGCTCCCCGGAGGAAGAGCTGCCCCTGCCAGCCTTTGAGAAGCTGAGCCCCTACCCAACGCCATCTCCACCACACCCACTGTATCCTGGCCGCAGGGTAATAGAGTTCTCTGAGGATAAGGTTCGGATCCCCCGCAACAGCCCCCTGCCCAACTGCACTTACGCTACCCGCCAGGCCATTTCACTGAGCCTGGTGGAGGAGGGGAGTGAGCGGGTCCGCCCTAGCCTAGTGCCCAGTACCCCTGCCTCAGCCCAGGCCTCACCCCACCACCAGCCCAGCCCAGCGCCCCCAACACTCAGTGCCCCAGCTAGCTCTGCCAGCTCTGAAGAGGACCTGCTGGCCAGCTGGCAGCGGGCATTTGTGGACCGTACTCCGCCACCTGCCGCTGTGGCCCAGCGCACAGCCTTTGGATGCGACGCCCTCCCTGAGCTGCAGCGCCATTTTGCCCATAGCCCCGCTGACAGAGATGAGGTGGTCCAGGCACCTTCTCCCCGACCGGAAGAGAGTGAACTTTTGCTACCCATAGAACCTGACTCTGGCTTTCCCAGGGAGGAGGAAGAAGAGCTGAACCTGCCCATCAGCCCTGAGGAAGAGCGCCAGAGCCTGCTGCCCATTAACAGTGGCACAGAGGAGGGGTCAGGCACTTCCCACACTGAGGGCAGGGCCTGGCCACTCCCCAGCTCCAGCCGCCCCCAGCGCAGCCCCAAGAGGATGGGGGTTCACCACCTGCACCGCAAGGACAGCCTCACCCAGGCCCAGGAGCAGGGCAACCTGCTCAACTAGGGCCTCTGGTGGTCTTCCTGCCATTGCTGCACTGGGACTGCAAGGAGGCCCCATACCTTGGCAGCTCAGGGTCCCCAGTCCAAGGCCTTGATCTCTCCCCAATCCATACCTGCACAGCTGTTCCCTGTGTGGGTGGGGTCAGGTGGTGGGCCATGCCAGGCCTGTCAGCTGCGTTGACTGACCACGGCAGCTTGCCTCATGGTTTTCCCCTTTTCTTAGAATATTTATTCTCCACAGTAACATGCAGTTGGGTCTCAAGACCTTTTCTCCAATCAGCCCAACCCAGCCCAGACTGGGCTGTTCTGGGGAGCTGAGGAGTTTATCAGTATTCATCTTCCATCCTCCTTTCATAGTCACAAGTTTTGTTATTTTGTTTTTTTTGGGGGGTGGTGGTGTAATCGTTAACTTCATTTCTGTTTCCTACCTGTTTGCTTCCCCCCCCCAATCCTCCGCATGAGCTGTTGCCCTCCGGGGGCCCGGCACAGCTGGCCTTGGGGACCAGAGAGAGGACTGACTCAGGGCCCCCTCAGCTGTCTCTTCCCTCTCTCTGGAAAGGAGGTGGGGCTCAGGGGCCTCAAGCTGCGCTCTGGGTGAGGCCTGGCCTCTACTCCCAACCTTGGCTCTAGACTGTTACTCCAAGCTTTGGGAAATTTTCACATTGATGACTATTTTAAAATCAAATAAAACTATTTTACTGGTATGGCCTAACTTGTCTTAATGACCTTCCCGTTCCCACTCTTCTCCCCATTCGTGAGTATTCCCAGTCCTGGTCTCATCCTAGTTGACTAGTGACTCCCCTTGCCCCACTCTACCTAGGGTTTCCCTGGGCACAGAGCATCAGGGAGCGGAAGCGGGGGGTACCTTAACCTTAGCAGGGTCCCTGAGTCTTCCCTCAGAGGCAGGGACCAGATCTTCATGGGGCTTGTGTAAGGTGTTGCCCCAGAAGCCCAGGTCCTAGGCCTAGGCCAGGCCTATTTTGAGAGATTCTGGACCAGTTTACGAAGCCTGGAGCTTGGGCTGTGTGATGCTACTGCCCCCTAGTGGTGCTTACTGGTAGTTCCAATTCCTCCCCTACTGCCGGCCCCCAGTGACTACAGCCACACGCCAGGTTGTGGAGTTCATAAAATCTTTTCCGAGCCAGCGGGTTGCAGCCAGAGCTGCCAAGTTCAAAGGCATTGCCTTGGGTTCAAGTGCCCCCCAAGGCTGTTGCTCAGTTACGGCTTCCAGAGCTTCCTTCCCACCACACTGCCAGGAGCTGCCAGAGCCCCCATGTAGCCCCTGACCCCAGTTCCCTCCCAAGCCCCAGGGCCTGAGCCTGATATCTGGGGCAAGGGGCTTGGACAATAGACAAGTGAAATGGTGTGCAGAGGCCCAGTGGAGAGTCACATCTCGGTCTCAGCCAACAGACTGTCCCCTAGTCCTGACGTCATTAGCACCATCTGAGAGCTGGGATCTGTGGAAGGGCAGAGGGGTGTTCAGACCACCATTCCTTCCTCCACTGGGGACCACAGATAGCTGAAAGCCTAGGTTCTCCACACCCACTCTCCCTTGTCCCGAGCCTCTTCCAGACCTAGCTCTGATCAACCCTCTGGGTTCTTACCACTGGGGCACATCCAGGAGCCGCTGCCCCTCTGGTGGGCAGCAGGCTCCCGCCCTCTCTCCCATTCCTGGGTGTCGCCAGCCCCTCCTGCCACTTCCTCCTCCTCCTCTCCCTCAGAGAGGAGGTCACAGATCTGTTGCTGCAGCTCTGGGCTAATGCTGTTCTCAGCCAACACCAGGCTCCGCAAAGCTGTGGGGTAATTTTCTACCATGTCCAGCAGGGTCTGAGGTGGGGAAGAATATGGAAAATGATGAACACAGTTAAGGCAGGTCCTCAGACCCCAACCTGCCACCCCTTAGGTATGTCATCAGACACATAAGCTAACCTCCACCCCATCCCCTGGCCGTTCCCAAACATGACAACTTCCCACCTGAGCTGACTGGTTGGTGAGCCCTGTGCCCTCCAAGTCTAGGACCTCTAGCGTACGACTGGAGGCCACAGCTACAGCCAGCATTCCTGCCACATGGTCACCTGGGGAGACAACACACGTGCACACATTCACACACATGCCTGCTAATCCTTACAGACAGCTTCCCCATTGCCTTAACAACTTAAGATACTAACCCCTGGCCAGGAAACATGGACAATTGGTGGTGGTCAGGAAGGGATCATTGTGATTGGTGAGTGAAGGCATGAAGAAAGTTAGGCCCACGGGTGGCGACTGATGCTTTGATCTATTTGTTGGTCACCTGGTCCTCCACAAAGCTATCTCCTTGACCCTTGGGGGCTCTCCTTTCTCTTTCCTCTCCCAGTGTAGGGGTTACCATGTCAACTGATGGTCCCAGGCTCTTGGATAGCGCATGAGGCAGTGAGAGCCCAAGGGGGTATTCTTGAGCCTCACCCAGGGGGTTGTAATCCAGATTGAGGACGCGGACCTGGGAGCTGTGGGCCACAGCAATGGCGAGGCGGCTCCAGCCCTTAGGGGTGATGCCAGGGTTGGCACTCAGCGTTAGCTCCTTCAAGCCTGGGTAGCATCATAGCAAGAAACCAGAATAAGGAGGGTTAAGCCCTCCCTGAACCCTTCCCCACCGTCCCTGTGTCTCCAGGGTGTCCCTAGTGGCTAAGCACCACCTCACCCCCACCATAGAGTTCAAGAACCATTAAGGAGGCCCATGCTTCCTCTGCCTGCCCAGCCTGGATCCCTGAGTCTCCATGCTGCCCCCCATCCTGCCCCTTCCTTAGAGGAGTAGAAAGACATTCTCACCCACAACATCTGAGCTCTGGGGCCACACCCCCTTCCCTCTGCATTTCGATTTTCATCACTGCCACACTAGCCCAAGCCCTCAACAGGGCCCTGCTCACCAGATTTGGCCCCATCTGGGGGCAGGAGACCACAGATGAGGTTGATGGCTTCATCACCCAGCATGCAGTCCCCCAGGTCCAGAGCCACGAGGGCAGGGTGGAGGGCCAGGGCTGGGTTCAGCAAGGCCAGCCCCGCATCTGTCAGGGGGCTCCCATGCAGGCTGGTGGGGAGTGAGAGAGCAGGGTTACTGCAGTCCTGAACCCTATCTACATGGGGAAGGGGCACTTTCACTTCTGTCAGCCCTAGATATGGGGAGGGCACTCAGTCACAGCACTAGAGAGGCCTGAAAAAGGAGAAGGAAAGTTCTAGATTCTCAGGGAATACAAGTAGAAGGAGAATTCGGTTTGATTTCTGGGGCAGGGATCCAGGACATCGCACAGGGAGGAGCAGAGAAGGGGTGGGTGTGTAGTGGACTGGAATACTGCAGTGGGCAGGGCTCTCGTCCCCAGGGGGATATTCTCTCTCGGGAACCCGAGGAGCTGCCCCGGTGAAGTAAATGCAGATGATCAGATGGGGAGGCACGGCCTCCACCCAATGTCAGGAAGTAGTAGGTATCCCAACGCGGGTAGGGTCGCGCGTGCAAAGCCCAAGCATGTGCTTGGAGGGTGCTGTGAAGGCATGGGCCGAGGCACGGTGTATGTGCATAAAGCATGTGAGGGTAGAATGGTACTGGAAGGAGTGTGGAGGAACATGAGATGCCAGGGGCGTGTATGGAGGGGTGCAGTGCCCGGGACCCCCTTGCGAGGGGGCGCACTCACAAGAGGGACTGGATGGAGCGGTTGGTCCGCAGAGCCTCAGCCAGCTGCTTGATGCGGCTGGGGCTGGACACGACGCCCAGGTTAAGGTTGAGCTGCGCCAGGGACGTGGCCCCGGCCAGGGCCCGGCAGATGCGGCCGAAGTCGCGGTCGCAGAGGCGGCAGCCGCGCAGCGAGAGCAGGCGCACGGCGTTGTCGCGCAGGCCGCGGCAGATGTCCCGCACCTCGGCGCCGGACAGCGGCTCCCCCGAAATCTGGATGGAGCTGGGCAGCATCGTGCCCACGGCTGGGCCTCCGGGTACGGGGCCGGAGGGGAGGTTGGCGGGGCCGCGGGCAGGGCCGGGGATAGGGCCGGGGTCGGGGCCCCGGCTGGGGTCGCGGGCGGAGTGGGGCCGGGGGCGGAGGCGGAGGCTGTGGCGGAGGCTGCGGCTGCGGCGGAGGCTGCGGCGGGGGCGGAGAAGAGCTACCGCGACTGAGCCTGAGCCGGAGCCGGCCCGAGGTGCGGAGGCGTCCAGGGCGCGGGCCGGGTTGAGGTGGGGCGGCACTGGGGTGGGGGCGGCTCGCACGGTCCGTGTCTGGGCGTTGGGCCGGGTGCGCGTTCCGGGGGCTGGGCAGGCGCTGCTCCGCGCTCGTCCTTGTTCCTCGCGGTCGCGGCGGCAGCGAGCGGCTCAAGGGCTTCGGCTTACCGGTCCCGGCTGGGAGGCCGTACCTGCTCCTTCCTTCTCTGCCGCCCGGCTCCCCCGACCACACCGCGGGCCTGGCCGCACGGCTGGCAGAGAGAGCCTGAGGCGGGCGGCTGCCGCTCGGGCTCCAGCTCCAGAGAGCTAACGGGCGGCGAGTTTCCATGGCAACGGCCGCGTCACCGCCGCTCGCCCCGCCCCCTGCCCGGCCAAGGCCACGCTGGCCCGCGAGGTCCGCGCACACGGGTGGTTCGGGGCAGGGAGCTGGCAGCGATAGGCCGCTCTTCCCGTGAGAGTGGGGTCAGCTAGCTAGCAGAAGGAAGGCGACAGGGCTGAGGCCTAGGATGGGCTGACTGGGGAGGGCTGACGGGGAGCGGAATGGAGGCACGCCATGTGGAGGTGGTGTTGGACACAGTTACTGCTTCTTCTGCCCATTCTCCCATCCTTACCCGTTCCTAAAGTCCAGGCCCTCGCCGGGATCCAGGGCACTGTTCCTTCCTATTTCGAAGGCCCCAGGGCCCTTTCTTCCGTGCCGCGCCTCGCCCTGCCCTCGTGACTCGAGAAGCAGCGTGCATGGGGATCCCGGTCCACGGGGACTTCCCACTTGCTTCTCGCCAAGATGGCGGCCTCACCAGGGAGGCCCCGGGGGCCACGGCTGGGCAGAGCCAGCCTGAGCTGCTGGGGAGAAGGGAACCCCAGAGGGTCCCTAGGGCAGGGAAGCCTCAGATAGATGCAACGTCCTGGTGCCACGCCTTTTCCAGGTATGCAGGGCACTGTTGACATCTGAGGGTGTGTCCCTGCCACGACACTGGGGCTGCCAATACAGAGGAGGTGCCAGGGCCAGAGCCCTGGAGCACTGGTGAGGACGTGAAGGCAGCTGAGTCACACCCCACGGTGCAGGCGGTACTGTGGCAACTTTGTCCACTGGCCAGGGTGGTGGGGGCCTCACTTGTGTAACGCAGGACAAATGAAGGGCACCTCTTTCTGTTACTCCCTTTGTTAGGAGGGATAGAGGCTGCTGACCCAGATTTACTAGTGTAAGGAGATTATTGTACATAAAACGTAACATTCAATATAGTGAAGGAAGGTCAAAGGCCATATTCCCTCTTTTAGCCACCAGAATTAAGTGGAGCAGATTAAAGAGGTGGTGGTGTGGGGGGTGGATGGTGCTATGTTAGGAGTGGTGGTTGGTTTTGAGGAAAGACAGAAAAACTGAAAGGAGCTGGCCCCAGTACCACCAGGGCAAAGCCAAGTTTGGCTTCAATTATGAGCTCCACAGGAAAATTATCCCCACAATGCCCAGGAGCAGAAGATCCTTGTTTTGACACGGGGTTTAAGTCGGGATGTTTTGTCCAATTGTCACTGCTTCCTTGGCTTCCCAAGAGTGCAGCTGAGCCCAGACTCAAGCTGGCTGCAGTGTTCCATCAGGCTTATGGCTTTTGTGATTGAGGCCTCCCTGCCGCTTCATGGGTCAGGTGTACCCTGCCCTCAGGTGTAGGTTCCATATTCAAGCACTGCCTTCTATGTAGTCTGGCCTGTCCCACCTTTATCCTGTCTGGGTGAGGATATGAAAAAGGGAACATACGACATTACCATTGCTGACTGAGCATGAAAGTATATAGTAAGTGGGATGACAGGGAGGACCACTGGATCAGCCGCTGCAGTTCCAGACTTCAATCAACATTTTAATTACCAAGTCTATATTTAGCAAGACAGTGTGGGAGAGATAAAGAGGAAGGAAGGGGTAGGTGGTGAGGGGTCTCAGAGGAGCTGGCCCATTTTCTGCACTGGCTGCAGAGCCTTGCAGTCCTGGCCAGGAGTTCTTGGCCTTGTGCCCTTCAGAAGTGCCAACAGGCATCAAGAAGGTACTTAACGCAGCTACAGCTCAGTGGCAGCTGCAGACCCCATCTAAGAAATATGTCATCAGGACTGTCCTTTAATAGTCTTCCTCCTCTCTCCAGCTGTGGGAAAGAGGACTGGCCAAGAATTTCAGGTGGAGTCAGTGTGACTGCAGGGTCACCGCAACAGCTTTGGCTGTGGCGTTGAGGATGGTGGTGGGAAGCCGAGCAGCAGCGAGCACGGCAGGGATGTCTCTGGGGACCCTCTGAATGGGCGGGATGTTGGGGCCCTCCAGTGTGTCCAGGATCCCTGGAAGGAAGATGGAAGGTGAGCAAGGGTCAGATGGGCCCAGCCCACTGACCATGATATCCAGCTTCTTGCCCTAGGCAGCTGCTGTCCCAATCTCCCCCACCCAGGCCTTCCTGCCACTTACCCTCTACCACTTTGTGGTAGGCAAAATGCAGATAGAGCAGGAAGAGCATGTGTAGGGCGGCCAGGGTGCCACAGAGGAGCAGCCGCTGTGTGGGGCCCACGGTCCGAGACACCAACACTGCTACCTAGGGCCATGAGAATACAGCTCAAAGGGCCTGGCTCCAAAGTGAGGAGTGGGGAAGACACTCCCACCCAGGGCAGAACCATCTTTGGGCCCTTCCCTCCCATTTAGGGCTCTTTGTGAGATGGACAGCTCCAGGCTGTCTTCCCCAACTCCCTGGGAGGACAGCCCACCCCTAGAAGCCTCTTGCCCAGCTTACCATGCGCAGTGTGGACAGTCCACCCACCAAAAGCCAGAAGAGGTAGAAGAGGGCGTGAAGATGGATATTATAGGTGATGAACAGGACAATGCAGTGCCCAAAGAGGCCATAGCCCTGGGAAGGAGGATGGTGGAGAGGGGAATCACTCAGGTTGGGCTGGTTTCTGGCCTCTCATGGGGACCGTGGGAAACACACGGTCCATTGGCCTACTCCTCCCATTCCAGGCTTCGGGGCCCCAGGACAGATGCAGACCAAGGCCTGTCTACTCTTTTTAACATCACTCTTGCCCACCACGCCTGGCTCCTTACCAGCAGTGCCAACATCTGCAGCATGGTGATCTGGGCGTTGCACAGGTAGGCGAGGAAGTAAATGAAGGATGAGACTCCCAGCCAGTAGCCGAAGCAGGTGCCAATGGCTGTGCCCATCAGGGTGCCCTCCCGCTGTGGGGTGAAGGCTCTACTTAGTCCTAGGAGGCCTCTGATCTCAGCCTCACCTAGGGCCTTCCGCAGGGGCGGTTCCTGTCTCACTCCACCACCGCATCCTCAGGCAGCTTTCAACCTAGTGCAGCCACCCCCCCAAAGTTGTCTGTCCTGCTTACGATAATAGTGTCAGACGTCTTCATCCCGTGGAGTAGGATGGCAACCAGTGTGAAGACCAGCATGAGAGGTCCATAGAGTTCACCTGCAATTTTCTGTCAATATACCAACTCATTCAGGCTGGAGGGTACAACAGCTCATCTGTTTATGGCTTCCCAGGATTTGCCTGGTGGTCCCACCCTCTGCCCTGGTGCTTCCCCCCGCTCTCCAGACGTGCCACCCCCTATTCACCTGGGGGAAGTTGACCATCTTGATAGGGATCATGGACTCCAGGAGCCTGGGAAAGGAGAGGAGAGATTAAAGCAGAGGCAGCCCGAGGCCATGAGGTTCTGGAGGGCACGGCCTGAATTTTATTCATCTCTAACTCCAGGGAATGGGGCCTGGCCTAGAGGACATGTCGGATGACAGGGTAGAATAGGGTAGTAAAGACAGATAGGGAATAAGGAAATCATTTCCTTGCCCCTAAAATTAACTTCCAGGAAGGACAACCCTCTGAAACTTAGCTGACTGAAACAGCAGCTATATGGAGAACTCAGCCCTGCTGGGCCTTGACGGAGAGCCTAACCATGTATCCATCTGCCCCCTCCCCTTGAAAAGACAGGCAGGCTGAGCGCGGTGGCTCACACCTGTAATCCCAGCACTTTGGGAGGCTGAGGCGGGCAGATTACAAGGTCGGCAGTTAGGGGCCAGCTTGGCCAATATGGTGAAACCTCGTCTCTATGAAAGATACATAAAATTAGCTGGGCATGGTGGCGGGTGCCTGTAGTCCCAGCTACTCAGGAGGCTGAGGCAGGAGAACTGCTTGAACCTGGCAGGTGGAGGTTGCAGTGAACTGAGATCGCGCCACTGCATTCCAGTCTGGTGACAGAGTGCAACTCCATCTCAAAAAAACAAAACAAAATAAAAAGACAAGACAAGACAGGCAGACCTCAGCAGAGAGTACCCAGAATTCAGGGCTATAATGAGGAAGCCCTGGGAAAAGTCTAGCAGGCTAGATGGAAGGTTTAGAATGAAAGGTGTTACTGAGGGAATAGTAAAAACGCCTCCTCTTCCTGCTTAACTGTGCCTCCAGGTACTGTCGAGCATTTTCTTGAAAAATATATGTGAAGTGGTATGAAAATTCAGTCACTTGCCCCTTCTCTCAAGTGGCTAGCTCCTAATCATACCTTGGATTTTAGCTAGATTTTACTTCCTCTGGGAAACTTGTCCTGTCCCACCCACCAACCTGCTTTGGCTCACATATCCCTCCTGTGTGCCCCATCATAGCATGAATACTGTGCTGTAACTGCACTCAAGAGCAAGGCTCCTATCTATCTTCACCACTGAACCAGATACAATTAGTATAGGGTCTGGCACAGAGCAAATGCTTAATAAATACTTGCAGAGTGGTCCTGGGTATTTGATTAGCATTGATTAAAGGACGAACAAAAAAACCAAGCCAGGATTAAATCTAGTTCTTGAAAAGTCACTCAAAAACTATGCCCTGATATTTTGATTCTGAGACTGTTCTGCTGCTGGGAATAAAAAGATAAACAAGACAGAGCCTGCTTTTGAGATGCTGTTGGTCTCTGGGGGGAAGATTCCAGGAATAAGAAAGGAAAGCAGTGGTGAAGTGCTGTCTATTAGAGGCAAGCACAGAGTCCCTTTTTTTTTTTTTTTTTAGATGGAGTCTCGCTCGGTGGCCCAGGCTAGAGCGCAGTGGTGTGATCTCAGCTCACCGCAAGCTCTGCCTCCCGGGTTCATGCCATTCTCCTACCTCAGCCTCCCAAGTAGCTGGGACTATAGGTGTCTGCCACCACGCCCGGCTAATTTTTTTTGTATTTTTAGTAGAGACGGGGTTTCACTGTGTTAGCCAGGATGGTCTCGATCTCCTGATCTTGTGATCCACCCGCCTCAGCCTCCCAAAGTGCTGGGATTACAGGCGTGAGCCACCGCGCCCGGCTGCCAAGCACAAAGTTCTATAGGGACACTAGGAGAGAACAAACTGGGGGTGGGATTGAGGAATGTGGAACAGAGGAAGTGACATCTGAGGTAGGTTTTGAGGGAATATGAGTAGTCAGCTAGATGGAAAAAAGGAGAAAGTTGGTAGCTATTATTATTTGTTTCAGTGACAGGTGTAGTGATGAGAGATGATGGGGTCATGAAGAGGGGGAGCCCACCAGAGCCCAGGGCTTGAAATCTGATTGTAGTGTGCATAAAGGACTAGGTGTTAGGAGGGAAGCTTCTTCAAGAGAAGGCTCCTCACCTGCTCCGCACCTGAGCAGGCTCCACATCAAAGTACGGTCTGAGGATGTCGATGTTGGCGTACAAGCTGAAGGCCCTGGAGGCTTGTCTCTTCCCGGCCTGCCACATCTGAAGTAAGGAAGATCGGCATAGGTATTGTGGGACTGTTGGTTCTAGACCCTGTTGCCTATTTTCCGCTTGATTTCTACATGGTTCTAACTGGACAACCTGGGGCAAACATCACCAACACCAACTCCAGAACATGGGACATACCTAGGTATACCTTTCCACCTGCAGAAGATTCAATCATGCTTACCTGATCTGCCACCTGCCGGCTCAGCTGTCCCTTAAAGCCCTTCATGCCCAGGAACTCTCCATCCTCTTCTTCAGCAGCAGCTGCATCAGCTGCATCAGCGTCTACTTCTTCCTCGCGCAGGCGCTGATGCAGCTCACCCATATCCTCGAAGCTAGAGCCTGAGGTATCATCCATGTTCTCCATGTCAATCACAGCTGAACCTCCGCCCTGTGAAGACAATGGCTCCTAGAGTGCAGGACTTTTCTGTTCCATCCATTAAGTCCTCTGCTCATCCCAGGGTTTAGGGCTTTGTTCTTCCACTGCTGAGGATACGGCTCGGAATCACTACAGATCATGCCACTCCATTCCCCCTCATATGCTCTCAGAACTCTTGGTTTCTAGCTTTGGCTGAATTTTCTAGCCTGGGAAACATACTACTAGTCTTCCATTCCTGTCTTTTTCCTACCTTACCTACCAAAGACTAAAAGGCTGAAAAAGTGCCCATTTCCTTCTTTCCTAAGCCCCAAACAAAACTATACACATAATATGTTTCCAGCGAATGCCAGTGAATCCCACCCAACCCCACTCCATGCCTGACCCC